CCCCTCCTCAATTACAGTCCTCAGAAGAGGTTCCAACTGAGACACTGAGCACACTGGAAATCAGGATGAAGAGTCAGGCTGCATGAAAATGAAGCCCAAGAAAATCTGAAGAAATAAATAGGAGTCAATGGGCCCATCCCTTAATCATTTCAGAATTAGAGCAATAAGGCCTAAAACAGATAAACTACTAAATTCACTTCAGAGAAACAAAGGCAATCCTCTGAATGCAGTTAAAAGATCTTGTAGTCCAGACTGGATTAGAGCATGGAAAACTGCAAGGACAACCACAGGGAGAAGAAAAAGAGATTGTCTGATGCTGATTTGTTTCAGGGGAGTCTTATGGCTTTACCAACTAATACAGGACCTCAATTTTCTGATTAAAATTCTATTAACTATGAATCACTGAAAAGGTAATTACGGTAGAAAATCCAAAGGTTGTGCAAAAAAAGAAACAAAGACCTTTAAACATAGAAAAATCAGTTCAAAGACCAATGTTTTTTTTTAAGGCCAATAGTTCTTATCCCAAAGTCTAAAGTTTAAGTTTAAAATATAAGTTTATCCGCAATTTGTCTTTCCACCTTTAAATTTGTAAATAAGAAAAGTGTGTACCAGTGAATCAGCCCATGAGGGAATTTTATTGTTCATTCTGTGCTCACAGAAGACATTCTGGTGTCCACAGCTTTTTCTTTATTTCTTTCCTGTTTTTTTCTCTATAGAGGACAAGATGAGTGTTTTGATTTGGCCATTTTGTTTTACATTAAAAAATGAAGTATTAATGTACTGTGGTTTATATAGTTATTCACGGTGGAGTTTCACGAGTACAATGTTCCAACTCCAGTCCTGCCACCAACAATGACCTCCCTCCACCAAATACCCCAGCTGTTTTGAGAACATGAGTTCATCATCTTCCAACTTGCAGGCTTTTTGCCAAGATCTTTCTTGACCTGTCGCTGGTTGTGTTTCTCATCTGATTGGATGAGAAACATCTAGGAACTCTCTAGGAAGCTCCTGCAGTAATAATACTGTTCACACTATGATCAGTACTTAAATCCCCCCAAACAATATATTTAATGTAATTAAATGCATTTACTATAATTAAGGAAAATGTGGATAAAACATATTTGCACATAGGAGAAAATATTTTGCACATAGGAGAAAATAGGAGATAAAACATATTTGCACATAGGAGAAAACAGTGGAGAAAATATTAATAGATTTCTTTGTGCCCTCTAAATTAGTGACTATATCTAAACTTGCTCAGATTTAGGTTAAATTCTGTTGATGGTTTTGTATACTTCTATCAACATATGATAATGCTAGTAAGTATTAACCATCATGGCCTGGATATATTCATTCATTAAAGACAGCCAAATAGTGATTCTAATTTCCTTATTTGTTAGTGGGATTATTTCTAAAAGAGAAATTTCTCCTTATTAATGAATATGTTACTATAAAGTGAAGTTAATGTTGAAATCAGGGTAAGAAGGATGTTTAGTCATTTGATTTACCAGTTTCCAAGACTATTTGTCTTTCTTTTCCTAAAGGTTTCTACTTAGTTTTTGTATGTGAATTTTAAAACCTGTTATTTAGTTATCCTCTTGTCTCATTCTGTGTAGTACTTCCTATGATTCCTCTGGATTTTCTATATAAATCTTCAAATAAAGATCATTTAACCACCTTCTAGCTTAGACTCACTGTAGTAGTATATTATTTTTCCTATTTTTTCAGCTTCAAATAAGATTAAATCTTAAATAACTTGTCTATTAATTACTTAAAGCAATATCAAAACATGTTTCATCAATTACCAATCTTGAGTATCTTAACTGTATTTTCTATTTATTTTTTTTAAAAAATTATTTTTTAAGTAGTTTAAGAGAAGGATGTAGCCCAGACAGTTTTTCTAAAGTTCATGAAATAAAGTTCTTTTCTCTACTTTCACAAAGTGAGAGAGAATAAAACAAACAGTGTGGGTGGGGGAAACAAAAAAGGGTCTAATAGTAACATAAAGATGATGGATGAGGGTCCTGGGCACTTTAATGGTGGTGGGGACAGTAAATTTGTACATCAATACTATTATCATTGTAATCATGCTACCTGATGTATAATTTCTAAAATTTAATTATAAAAGCAGGTTAATTTCACATTAACTGCCATCGTCCATACCTATTTTACAGCAGTCGTCACTCTGAATCATACTTCCAGGCTCTCATTGATTTCCCCAGACAGAAGTCTACTTCAGCACTTTCTATTTACAGGGTCTAACTGCTAAGGTGCTTTATGTGGGTAGTGTACAGCTAGGCTGCAAGTCTGGCATTTGCCAAAGGTTTGATTCCTGTCACCACATGATCACCTGAGCATTGCCAGATGCAGCACTGCAGCCTCCCTACCACCACCATCCCAACCCCAGCACCCAGGTGTGGCCCTGGAGGTGCTTAGAACTGCCAAGATGACCAAAGTATCTCTAACCTCACTGGGCCAAAGCTGCATCACATCTGTGGTTCTTGAATTAAACCACCCACACAGTGTTTCAGGAAGCATCATGCCAAAAAAAACTGCCAGGCCTCAGAAAAAATGCACCACCAGGCCTGAGCACCAAACTCCAGGCCTGTATCACCAAGGTGAATGCACTGGAAGTGGACCCTGAAGACCCAAGAACTGATGGGTGTAATGTCCACTGGGGAAAAAATGTGGGATAAAAGGAGAAAAGGTATCCATTAAAATTAAACTAAAAATTATTTGTTTTCCATTTAAAATAGACTACAATCTCAAATACTCATGAAATATCATAACAGAGCAAGAGATATAATGAGAAAATGGTGGAATTGACCCCAAAGATAAATCAAAACAAACATTTGTTGAAAAGAATAATTCCTAAACTAAAGAAAGCTAAGGAAATTACCTAAAAGGAATTTTCTGTTTTATTTCAAGACCATTCCCACTATGCTCAGGGGTCATTACTGCCTGTGCTTGTGAAATCATGTGGGTGCTGGGGATCAAACCAGGGTCAGACAGGTACAAGGCAAGAAGTTTTACCCTCTCTACTATCTCTGTGACACCCTGAAAGAGAATTTTAAGCAACTATCTAATAATGACCACTGCAATGACAGTAATAGAAGAAAAATTGAGAAAGACAGAGATAAAATGCAAACAAAAATTATAGAACTGAACTGAGTACAGTTGCTGAAATAAATATATAACAGGTAAGCTCAATAGAAGAATAAAAAAAGCCAAAGATGACTTGGTCAGATTAAACATAAGATAGTGGAAAGTGGGACCAGAGAGATAGTATAATAACTTAAATTTTCTTTGGCATTCCTCAGGGAAACAGAATAAAAACACTATTGAGATTTCTATGGAATTATGAAAGACCCTAAATACCCAAAAACAAAAGAACAATGTCTCATCACTGCACATATGAAATGCCAACTTTTACTTTTAATAAATACTGTTATTTATCTTTTTTGTGATGTGCATATGTAGTAACAATATAACTTTACTTTGAAAATTATATATCATTTTGCATAGAGAATTATATATATCATTAATATATCTATCATTTATATATCATTTATATAGATTCATATATATGAAAATTCAAATATGTATGAATCTACATGAATATATGTATATATTTATATATCATATCATTCATATGTATAGCAAAATGATATATATCATTCTTTTTCTACAATATAGAATGATATATGTCATTCTGTTATATACATACACATTCTATAATCATATATGTATCCATTATATTCCTACAATTCAGACTTAATCAAACATGGAAATTCCTTTCCTTTTTTCAGATCCTACCAAATCTAAATGCTATCCCAAGAGTCAGTGACATAACTGTGATATAGAAGGGCCCCCACTTTTATAATTGTAAACAATATGACAGATGTCTTTTTCCCCACAAATACTGCATCAATAATATTTACTACAGCATCACTAACATAAAATGTGACAAGATTTATAAAATATCATATAATGTTACAAAATTGAAGTGTCAAAACCCTTCTAGTAGTTAACATTCTTGATGTCTTAGCCACTTAATATGAAACTAACATTTAAATTTATGAAATAACATGTTTTTAGCAAGATAATATAATCAAAATCTTCCTGGCTTGCTTCTCTTATCCTGAGCATCTCTGTCAAATGAATTTTAACATTTAGATTATATATGACAATGACTAAATAACTTAATTTCAGAGATCCATATATTTTTGAACAATGCTAAACACAGGATAGTCATTAAAATACATATTCCAGTAAAATTTTACAGTTAAAAATAGCAAATCGCCCCTAAACTTTGTAGATTTTTAGGTCAAAGGTAGATTTCCTTGATTTAATTTGTTTAGAGAATTTTGTTTTGATATACAGATTATTACTTCAAGAATCAAATTTAATGCCTAGCCCTTAAAGTTATAAATTTTTATAATGAAAACAAACTGAAATAAGACGAAAAACAAATTTACTATTATTTTTAAATGAGTTATTCGTGAATATGTCAAATTTAAAACCATCCTTAAGACTTGCAAACAATTAAATTTAATGTTCTTTCCAGGAGGGTTGAGCTAATTAAAAACAACAGGGAAAAATAAGTGTTCCAAAATTTAGTTAAATAATTTATTATTTGCTTGCTGGGTGATGATGAATAAAGAATCTGTATATAGTGTTCTCTCTTTCCCTCTCTCTCCACTCACTCTTTCTCATTCTCTCTTCTTCTTTCTTTTTCTTCTGTCCCCTTCCTTTTTCCTCCCTTCTCCTCTCACCTTCCTCTTCCCATCCTCCCCCTTTTCTTTCTTAAAATCCTCCTTCTCCATCGGTCTCTCTAGCATTCTCTGTGAAAACATTAAGCAACCCCGAGAGAGAATCCAGGGTAATACATTGATAAAGTGACCTGCTGTCTTGAGCTCAGCATGCTGATGCTATAAGAGAAATATTCCTTGTGTTTACCCACTGATGAACCCACTCATAAACAAGAAGACTGCACTTACCGAGCTGGGGCTGGAATGCCTCCTAACTTTAGGGGACTCTTTGCCTGTGGAGGAGGTCTTGAAATTAATGCAAGCATTGTTCTCTGAATGCACCCTCTTGACTTGATTAGTTGGTTTCTCAAATGGGTCAAAAGTGCTCTGGGTCCTCTGAACCCTGACTTTTTTATCCTCAGGAATTGTGTCCAGGGGTTTGATCACTGAGTCCATTCCCTGGCAGTTCCGTGTAGACATCTTTGTGACACATATCTGGAAAAGAGGAAAGAAATTAAACTCAAAACTCTTCACTGAAACTTGAACAACAGTAAACTCACTGCTTTATTATTCTCGAAAACATGTCCATTTCTAATTTCAATATGCAACAAAAGGCCAAGCTTTTAAAAGCTACACCAGCTTAAGTAAAAACATAGAAACTTCTTTAAAATCATTCTTCTGATACCTGCTTAGGGCTGACACTGAAAATATTATCCCTAAATTGAAAAACCTAAGGCTTAGACTACTAAGGAGGTTCTTGAATGCCATTATATCATAGCACTGACTAAAAGTAGGATTATTTTGAACTATTAACAATTAAATAATACATAAGGATATCTTAGAGACAGTTGCCTTACTAATAAAAACAAAAAAAATCAGTTGAACTAAGTCATATGGACATTTTAACTGATGGGTAATCACAGAAGCAGTTAATAGCTAGAGAAGATGACTGTGTCCCTCATTCTGTCTACGGTTGAATATATATAAAATGTTACATGGCACATATATCTTAAATATTAATACTTTTACTTTATTCCAAACTGGAGTTGGAGTAGAGTGTAGAGAAAAGCTAATGAGAACAGGAGAGGTAGTGCAAAAGTTCAGAGCACATGCCTTACACACCAGAGGTACGAAATTCATCCCCAGCACTACAAAGCTCCCCAGCATTAGTAGCGGTGGCCAGAGCAATGTTGATCTATGCAGCATTGAATCTCTGGGACTGGCAACTAAATTCTTAGGCTGACACCTCCAGGTTAAATATTGTCAGTAGTGTCCCCAGACTAGGCTAATGATAAAAAATGGTGAAAACTTAAAAATGCAATACCAAAATTAATGCATAAAAATGAATATAGAGAAAAAATCATTATATAACATTTCAAAATTCTGTTTACATTATTCCACTAGATTCCCTATTCCCTTTCCAATATCTCTGCACAATATTTTTCTGCATCACCTAACCCCATCTCATTCTAGTCTTTCTGACTTCGTACCTTGTTTTCCACTTTTTAATCTAGCCCTGTTGTTTTCCCAAACCCTAAAGACTTTGCTGTTCTTACTAAAGAACTTTGTACTCTCGAGGACGTTTTGAGGATTAAGAAGCATAAACCCTACAAACAACTCATGGTTTGGGCAAGACCTGGGAGCTAACTTGCACCCTACAGTCTACTACTTAATCAAGATCTTTGCACTATCATAGCAAACTATAGTTTATCAGATAAAACAGTTTGACTTTTTCTATATTTATGGAAAAATATATGGAGATAGTTTTTAAATATGGACCCCCAGAGATGTTACTTTCAAGTAAAACTTTGTAGCACACCTACTGGGGGAGGGGTGGAAGGACAGGGATTAGCAGAGACTAAACATAAATTTTTTACAATGAGAGCAAAGAAGAGCTATAAGTATATCATCAAAACTTTAAAAAAACCTTGAGGACTGGAAAAGTACAGCAGGTAATGTACATTCCTTGCACACAACTGACAATGGTTTAATTCCCGGCACCCGATATGATCTCCTAAGCAAGGCCAAGAGTGAACCCTAAGTACAGCTAGCTGGGTGTGGTCTCAAAGAAAAAAAAATTTAAAAAATTAAATTTAAAAAATTAGCTTTAGTGGTATAGAGAGACAGTACAGCAGACAGAATGCTTGCATTGGATGTAGCCAACCTGAGTTCAATTCCCAGCTCACAACATGGGTCCTCCGAGCCCTGCCGGGAGTGATCACTGTGTACAGAGAGCCAGAAGTAAACCCCAAGCACACGTAAGTGTGACCTCTAAAAGCAAATACACGCAAAAAAGGACTTGATTTTTCAATGAGTTCATAAAATCATATATACTATAATGATTTTGTCTGTAGACCTCATGTTATCAGGTCAAGCAAAAATAAGAATGAAAATATTATTTTTAATTTTAGGAAGCAAAATTACTCCAAAATTGTGAGTCTACGCAAGTGAGGGAGGATAAATTGTTATACAATCTATCGCAAGTACAACCACGTGCCACATATTGATGTGTAAATCAGCATCAGGTACTTGGAGCTAACTCTAACTAGGTGTGCAGAAGATGCTACTATACAGATTTGCATAAGTATATGCAATAAATTTTCCTAACAATACATTCCCCAGAATACATGTGTCATCCAATGACATGTCATTATGAAGTCCTATTGCCTTCCTCTCACCTTACACGAAGGTTTCTATGTTAATATGTTTGCTACAAGGTAGAGTTCATTTAATGAATCCAAATATGGCAAACTTCTTCATTGTTAAAATCAGGGCTAAACTAAACACTTGTGGAAAACCAGCTTCTCTAAAGCATTCTATCATTAAAACAGATGCACAGCAATCTTCTAATTCTAAAGAAGGGAGAGAATTTCAAATATATTATCTGAATTTAAAATATTTTGCAAAAACATTGTTATATTCTTCATATTTACCATTTTGTCATCCACCAGCAAATGACAAAATACAAGTAAGAAACAATCATTAAACTAAAATAGACTTCTTGGTAACAGTTTACTTGTATGAAAACATGCCTTATTACATTCACAAACATATGCCTTGCTAATTAGTTCCTAGCTTATATGATAATTTTAAAATCTATCAATATGCCCACATAGGTTTGAAGAGAGCTTCTTTCTTCCATACAGACCATGCATTTGAGACCAGTATCTCCTTATCCCTGGCAAGGAAGGATGATGTCTACCCTTTATACCACTTTATTTACAGTCACCTCACTCAGAAACAGCCAAATAGCAGAGTTCCACAAGGCACTGAATTAATGAATCAGATTTAAGAAATCCCACTTCAATAAGAAATTTCCATGCTTTCTACCTATAAGGGCTAAAACTCTCAAACATTTATTACCCAAATGCTAATGTCAAAAACAAAATAGCAGTCTTGAAACAAAATTCATAAGTGTATATATGTGTGTGTAAGTGTATATATGTGTGTGTGAAAGGTTTACAACAAAAGACAAAAAAATTTCAGCGAATGGCTCATTGTGACGAGCAGAATTTGAAAATAAAATCCCCATATCCTTCGTCGTTACTAATCCCCTTAGTGTGTGAGTATAATGAGCTATCACACCATTTGACATAACAAATAGGAAGCTATCCTGGATGGATGGATCTAATCAGGCAATCCCTTTTAAAAAAAAAAAACTTTTATTTTTTCCAGTTAACTTCAGGAAAGAGAAGTGTGAGCTGGCTATCTGGAAGAAAGCAAAACTGTTCATGTTGTGAACTGAAGTGCAGTCAAAAAAGAGGCATAAAATGTGGGTGGTTTTTAAGAGCTGACAGTTGTCAGGGGATGAGGGATAGCAGGAAAATGGAGTCCACAAACCGACAACACATACAAACACACAAATACAGTTCTGTTACAACAGAGAGAAAAAGGAGTTCTGTTAACAACTAGTAAGCTTATAAGAGGTTCCTAAACCCCAAGTGAGAACCACAAACTAGGAAACTGCCTTAATTTTAGCCTAGTGTAACATACACAGAGACACCAGCCATGCTGCATCTTGTCTTCTAACCTCCTGACACTGAGAAAACAGCTAGTAAGTTTGTGGTAATGTGTTATATTGCAATAGAAAACTATTAGTTACTTTAATGAAATGCTTGAAGCACTTTGAAATTTGAGCAGAATGATCTTAGGAACATGTCATAGATAACACTTTCCGAATTTGATACACTGTATTCGATCCAAGAGAAAATAAAATTACTACGACTACATCAATAAATGACCATATAATAAGAGTTTTCTGCAAGATTTAAGCCCTTCCGCAATACAAACACAATTAACAAGTTCTCCACACACTTGGATTTATACACAACTTATTTTGGCATAAACCAGGGCGTGTGAGAATAACACTTGTATCGGTGCCTTGCTCTATGTGTGCATCTCCACCCAGGAAAGTAATCTATACTTGAGTTTTCCACAAGGGCAAAGTGACTGCTCTGGAACCGTTTCAAGTTTCCAATATTTGGGGTAAACAACTTACATGTGATCTTGCCACCTCTATTAATCATGAGGACTAAAGAAAGCAGAATACAGGCCCTAGAGAAGGGCATGGAAGGATTGGCCTCACAGACCAAATGAGCTAGTCAGTCAGACCTCAACGAGAGAAGCCAGGGGTTAAATCTAGAAAAGGGTATAGGCAAGTTGGAAGACAGCATTGTTCTAGGGAATGTCTATTTCGCCTAGAAAGCTGTCGTGTCTGGCAGCTTGTAGAATAAAATTGTGAAAGATCCCAGATCCATTAACAGAGAGGTAAGCCAACTGGCAGGCGCAAGTTCTACACACTGGTGCTGCTGCCTAAGGTCCATGTCTTCAATTGAACCTTGTAATCAATCTGCCAGCAATCTAATTTCTTTGTTTGGGGGCTATACCTGGCCGGTATTCAGGGCATCCACCTGGCTCTGTGCTCAAAGATCACTCATGGCAGGACTCAAGGGACCATTCAGTCTGCCGGGGATCGAACCTAAGTCGGGTACATGCAAAGCAAGCACCCTGCCCACTATATCACCTCTCCAGTCCTCTGTCAGCAATGTAAACCAAATATATCCTCATCTCTAATAAAATATTTTCAAAGTTCTTATGGTCTGTGCAGTAGAAGGTCTTGGCGACAGGTATAACCATATACTATAACAAATGAATGAGGGGAGGTGGCAAAATGGACATAATCGGTGCCCATTCTTGGGTCTATGTTCTACTCCTTCGCTGTGAAAAAAAAGGGGGGACATCTTGAAACATAGTGAGATTCCAATTTGCAGATCCAGAAGCAGAGAACAGCTATGAAATTATCTAGCTGTTACCAAAAAATCAGGATTCTTAAGAAAGATGTCATATGATGTCATAAAAAAATGAAACTAGAAGGCAAAACAATCTGCCAAACTGATTATTCGAAAATCAAAAGGAAAATAAATGACAGTCAAGTGGCACAGTTATCAAAAGAACATGAGTACATTATGATTTCAAGAGGTAAAAGTTAATATAGG